GCTGGGCTCTGGCCAAAGGCTGAAATACTCAAGAGCTGGCAAAACCCAGGCTGACCAGTGTGCAACCTGGAGAGGGGATGCTGAGGGTCAGAAGAAAGAGTCTGCCTGCCCGCTGTGGGTCCTTGCCTCTTGGCGGCTGCCAGGCCCAGGGCAGAGTGAAGTGGAGTCACGCCAACCATCTGTTTCTGACTAGGCCTTGAAATCAGCTCCTCCAAGTTCAACGTGGAAAGGGAACGACCCTTGTGGAACCACGGTTATCCAAGATGGAATGGACCTCCGAAAACATCTAGTACAGAGATTCCCAGATTTGGGCATTTCACTGACCATAAAATTTCAGGACAAGATTGAGGGGCTGCCATAGGGTTGCCAGTGTTTTGTTCTCACAACTTAGAGTATGATGTACCATCTGCTATCACCATCGCTTCCTAAAAGACGTGACACTGTAACAAGAAAAAATTAGGAGGATACAATCTCTGAGTAAGTGAGAGTCTGCAAACTGGGCTTAACTATAGGAAGAAATGTATTCTTTGCCCTTATTTTTCTCATTCATAACAAAACCTTGAAAGCTAACTTGATCACAATTCACGAATGATTATTTTGCAGGTCAGGAAACAGGCTCAAAGATGACAAAGAGACCTGCCCAGGTGATCCAGCACTTTAATACCAGGAGCTTGGACACCAACCCAATACTCTGTCCAGGGTCACTCCAGCATCCTAACTGGGTCCTCAGTGCAGTGGGCAACTGCTGTCGCTCTCCCTGGCCGAGTCCTTAACACGTTTCCCGCTGAGTCTCTTCCAAACCTTTCTCATCTCACTAGGGCCCCCTCCCCAGCAGATGGCTCCTAACGTCACCAAGAAGGTAGATCACAGGTCATCACCCTGGCCGTCTCTCCTCTGCATCCCAGAATCTTCCTGACTCCCCAGCCACCTTCTCTTCCTTCCCCTGTTCTCTGATGAAGCAGGTCCTTCCTCCCGCCCAGGGCCGGCCTCCCTGTTACGTGCTCTCCCAGCCCTCCCCTGACACCACTCCCCAACCTCCTTCCCTTCCCTCTCCCTCTTGCGTCACTCATTTTCCTCCTCTGAGCCCTTCACTTCAGTGTACAAACACGCTCAAGTTCCTGTACTGTCATTTAAAATTCCTTCAAAGTTCACAGAAACCAAAATCACGATGGCTTTCAAATACATGAAAAACTCTCAAGGAAACCCCACCAAAGAAATGCAATCTACTGTTATGAGTTCTCATTTTTTCCACTGAGCTTGGTAGAGGTCAAAAATTCCAGATGGTTCAGTATTAGTGAAGGGAGAGGGGACTGGCTTTGCAGTTCACTGTTCATGGGGTAAATGGACACAAAAGCATGTTTGGAGGGCAATTTGACAATTTTCCTCAATTAAAAATGCACATACCCACGTATCAGAATTTTCGTAGCAGCTTTACTCATAATAGCCCCAGACTGGAAAGTCCTCATGTCCATCGACAGGAGAATAGATGGACACTGTGGTGTATTTTATATCAGCAAGAATAAATGATCTTCAACTACATGCAACTCCATGGCAGACCCAACAGAGAACAAACCATATGATACTCTTTGTACAAGTTTCAATACATGCAAAAACATCCTATGGTGTTAGAAGTCATGATAGGGATTATCCTGGATGGGGTTAGGGAGGGGGCTTCTAGGATTCCGCTAATACTCTGTTTCTTGATCTCCATGCTGGTGACACAAGTGTGCTTGCCTTGTGAAAATTCACCGAGTTGCACACCTAAGTTTTTGCACTTCCCTATATCTATGCTATACTTCGATAAAATTTATCAAAAGGGAAAAGAAGGGAAAAGGAAAAGAAATGCAAGAGCATTTCCAGCAATTCCAATTCTAGGAAGTAATCTTGTAGTTATTTTTGCATGTGGGCAAACAATGAATGGACATGATGTCCTGGCAAACTGGAAATAGTCTAAATACCCCAGTGATTTAAGCAGGAGTGGTTAAATAAAGTACAGCACGTCCATATAACAGAATAGCATTTAGCCGTGATAAACACGAGGGCGACCTTTTTGTACTGATTTGCAACAGCCTCCAAGACATGTTGTGAAATCAGCAAGCAAGATGCAGAACGTGCACAGAGCACTACCTTCTGTGTAAAAGTATTTTTTCCATATACACAGACTCTCTGGGAGGACCCATGAGAAAGTGGTGGCAGTCCAGCTGGGGGCATCATGCTCTAGTTCATCCAGGAGTTATCTGTGTCGGGGCCCAGTCTGCCTGCTGGACCGCGCTCTGCCTGAGGGTCTGTGGGGCCTGGTGCCAAGGAGGGCCTCGGTGATGGCTCTGCGTCAACGACTTGTAACTGTCTTCAGTTTATAAACATGTCAATATCCACTGACTATAGGCAGGACCAGCATCTGGGGTTTGGCAGCAACCACAGGCTGGTGTGTGTGTGTGTGTGTGAGACAGAGCGAGAGAGAGAGAGAGAGAGAGAGAGAGAGAGAGAGAGAGGCGAGGAGGGGGGCTGCGGGGGGGGGTGCGGGGGAGAAGCCTTCATGGAGAAGCAGTATCTGGGTAGAGGTGGGGAAGAAGAGAGAAGAGACAAGCATAAGTGAAGACCTGTCTCTCTGTCACATGGACCGATGCAGGAAGGGTAGGGCCTTACACTTGAAGAGCCCCGAGCCAGCCTGCTGCCCAAGTTTCCAGGTATTCCTGCTGTCCAGGGAGCAGAAACTGAGCTGGAGGTGAGAGAAGCTTGTGCTCCAGACTCCTGGAGAGTCGATGCCACCTCCTATTCTGCAGAGACATAGCCGGCCACATGGCCTGGCCACATTGGCAGAGCTGGGATTTGCATCCGGGTGTGACTCCAAAACCCCGCACTTAGCACTTGGCTGAGTCGTCCTGCTCTTCGGGGGTCAGGAAGCGCTTTGCTGAGGAGTCACACTGCAGTCTTACAGAGTAAAAGTGGAGAAGGGTTGTGGTGGTCCACACAGAAGGAACGCCACGTACAAAGCAGAAGGCAATGATCTGACCTGATGTGGGCGGCACAGGGTTCCGTACGGAGGCAATAGGGGCAGGAGGGAAAGGGATTTGGGGAACTGGCCAGAATGATGCAGCAAGCACTGGCTGGGGCCTGGTTACGCAGACTCATGGATTCCCACCTAAGGAGTAAGTTTCAGTCCCATAGCTGTTTGGATTCCAAACTGAGGGTTTGATTATGGGTTCGGTACCATCTTTACTTCTGGAAGATCATTGTGGCAGTGAGATGAGGCACAGATTACAGGTGACGAAGCCAGAGGTAGGGGGACCCGTTGGGAAGCAGCGGAATAATTCAGGTGAGAGAAGATGGTGGCTTGGACCAAAGCAGGAGCAGGTGATGGAGAGAAGTTAAGAGTTTGAGAGAGATTTAGGAAGAAGAAGAACACAAAGTAATTGGCAGAAGGAAGCAAGTGCAGGAAAAGGAAGGGTCAAAGGTGACTCTCAGATTTCTGGATGAAGGAATGAGGTATCTGGTGGTGCCCTTCCGGAGGCGAGAAACCCGGATTGGGGTAGAATGGAAGTTCAGTTTCAAGGACATTGAAGTAGAGGGGTCTGCAGCATGTCCAAATGGGCAGGCCAGGTGGTGTTGGCCTTCATTCACTCATTCAACCAGAGGTTACTGCGTACTTGCAGCGAGCCAGGCACTGGGGGTTCACAGTGAATTAGACAAGGTCCCTAACCTTGGGAGGGTTCCTTCTGGTAGAGAGACAATTAACAAATAACTGAAGAAACAGAAGTTACAGGCCACGAAAGGTACTGCGAAGGATCTGAAGAAGATGAAATGGAGAGAAGCTGCAGGTCAGCCTGTGCTCCCTCTGCCCAGCAGAGCAGGCCTGTTGAGGAACAAGCTGGCCAGAGCCCTGGGTCCCACCTGCTTCCTTATCAGTTTAAGGGGGAGGGCCTGGTGCTCTGAGGGCCTGTTCCTTGGGCCCAGAGCTTCTCTTGCTCAGAGCCAATCCCCACAGTGCAGGGATCCTCTACTTTCACCTGCTCTTAGCTTTTAGGGTCAAGGCTTCCGCACTGTGGCCTCTGCACCGTGCGCTGTGCCGAGCCATATCGAAACCCAGCAAATGTGGGCCACGTGGATGGATGAAGGGCTGTGCAGGTTGTGAGGGTGCACATAAACACAGCCTGCACTTCAGGAACCCGGAGCTGCAGAACTGGATAAACCGCACCCTGAGAAACAGGCAACCGAAGTACTGGGGGAAAAAAAGGTGTCCTAGGCATCGCTCTCATTCAGGCCTGAGGACTTCCCATAGGGGGTGACGCTTACACCTGGTCTGGGAAGAATGGGTTTCACCAGGAGCCTCTCGGGTGGGCACCCGTCTTGCCCTCCACCCCCACTGAGCTAAGCGGAAACTGCAGCCCAGAACTGCCTGGGGACCAGGGTCAGCGGCAGACACAGGCCTAGAAGCTGCGGTAAGAAGCAGATGCAGGCGATGTCACCTGGGGCTAGCCAGCTTTCAAAACTCTTCCAGGCCAGGGATGCACTCCTAAGAGCGACGGTAGATTAATGCCAATTAAAAAACAAGAAAGCAAAATCTGGGTTGAGGTCTCCAGGTGAGCCGCCTCTTCTGGACGGATTCACTTCATGGGGACCTGCGCTCCGGGAGGCTGCGGGCGGTGGCCCCTTTAAGCGTAATCCTCCTCCCAGCCATCCCAACACGCTCGGGGAGTTCCCCGGCCGCAGCTGCGTGGTCCCCGCCGGCCGCGCCGCCGCCACCTTTCCCCTACTTTCCAGGGCCTCAAGCTCCGCCCCCTCGCCGCCACCAAAATACATGCAGCATCCCGCCCTGCCCGATCACGCCGCTGCCAGGCTCTGATCACGCGGCTCCCCGCGGCGCCCATTGGCCGGCGGCGCACGGGCTAGGTGCGCATTGGCTGGCGCCCTCCAGGCCCCGCCCCGTCGGGGCGTGGTGTATTTTGGTTTGCCTCCGCGCTCCGCCCCTGTGGCCGCTCCCTCCCCAGCCGCCCCGCCCCTCCCGCACCGCGAGGGCCGCGCCAGGGCAGAGCCGCGCGGGCGGGCGGAGGCGCACGCCGGCCGCTGGAGCTCCGGGTCGCCGCCGCCCGCCGTGCACGTGCGGCAGCTGCCGTACTGAACTCCCGCCGCGCGGCCGCTTTGTTGCCTCCCGGCCGCCGGCACCATGCACACGCCGGCCTCCGCGGGCTCGGGCGACGCACGCGCGGTGAGTGGCCTCCCATTGGAGCGAGGGGCGAGGCGGGGACGCGCTGCCAGTGCGGGCCCAGGGCGCGGAGGAGGCCAAGGCGCGCGGGGCATAACCGCGCGCGCACCGTTAGGAGCCCGGGCGGCTTCGGGAGTCGAGAGGGGCGGTGGCCGCACGAGGCCGCGCCGGGAGGGGCGGGAAGTGGGCGTGTGCATCGCGCTGCTCTCTGCGCAGCTTTGTCTACCGCTCCCGCAGCGGCCCCGCCCCGCCGGCTTCAGGTGCGGGGCTATTTCCAGCCATGACGTTACCAGGCCCTGAGGAGGTGGCCGTTGGGTGGGGCGCGGCTGGCGGGAACGCGGCACGCGGGCGGCGGGGGCGGGGCGCCGGCGAAGGGGCAAGGACTGTGGGAACGCGGCGCACGGGCGGTGGAAAGGGTGAGGGGGCGGGGCAACGGCTGGCGGGAAGGTGGGGGCGGGGCAAGGGCTGTGGGAACGTGGGGGCGGGGCAAGGGGCGGGGAAAAGGCCGGCGGGAATGCTGCACGGGGCGGGGGGCGGGGGGCGGGCCCCGGCGCCTCAACCCTGGCGGGCTCCAGTCGGGGCCTGAGGGCTACGAGGAGTTCGCTGGTTGGACCTGGGACCTAGTCGAGCCGCGCGGACCGCTGAGAGGCCGAGAGAGAGGTGTGGGAGCCCCGCGCCGCCCTTTCCCTGCCCGCCTGTGGGCTAAGCAGGCGGCAGCCCGCACGTCTGTGACTTCGCAGTTCGTTCCGAGGCCCAGGCTGCGGGCAGAAGTGGGGCTAGAGCGGCGTTTGTAAAGGCGGCGGCGTTGCCTGTGTGCTTTGGGGGACACCTGGGCAGGACAGGTTGGATGTTTAGGCAAACTGAGTGGAAGTGTGTATCTTAGTAGATGTAAAATTTCTCTGCGAAGAGATCAGTTAGTTTCAGTCGCTTCCCGCCCCGCTCTTGCTTGACAAGAGACGGTCTGCTGCGCTGGAAAGTCCTCGGGGCCCGGGCTTGTGGCACATCTTACACTTTCTTCCTCTCCCCGCGCTGGCCTTGTGGCGTGAATCGGTGCTCCTGGGTGTGGGGACCGGGGCTGAGCCAGTGCAGGCTCTCCCGCCCAGGGCTCTGCTGAGTGACGGCCTCACTGGTGTGGAGCCTCCTGGGTTGTCGCAGATGCGTCTGTGGGGACGCTCTGGTGGCTTCGCTGACTCAGAAGGGCTGCGCTCTCATCTTACCCAACCTCAGCCATCAGTGTTTTTTTCTCCTCCCCCCGGGGACAGTTTGGTACTAGCCACTGCAGCTCACACCTCTGTAAGTGTTATTAATCATTTCCCGAAGGAGAAGCTAGCTTAATAACGTTTGTTAACAGTCAGGATTTTCCGTGGAAGCCTCTGGCGGACCGAGTCCATTCCTCCTCCTCCCCCCACCGCCCCCCCACCCCCCGCTGCAGAACGCTGGCTCGGAGCGAGTGGTCCTCGGCGCTCGGCAGGCATCCTTCCCTGGAAGCCAGAGCGCGTGCGCGTGCTGCCGGGGGCGGGGCGGGCTTCTGGTGTGCGCGTCCTCGTGCTGTCCCGGTGCCCCCCTCCCTGTGTTTCCAGGGACTCAGCCGCTGTGTTGTGTCGACTTTAGGTTGACATCATGGACATATGCGAGTCAATCCTGGAGAGGAAGCGGCATGACAGCGAGAGGTCTACGTGCAGCATCTTGGAGCAGAACGACATGGAAGCTGTCGAGGCTCTTGTTTGTATGAGCTCCTGGGGTCAGAGATCCCAGAAAGGGGACTTGTTAAAGATAAGACCCCTCACACCTGTCTCTGACTCTGGGGATGTTTCCACCATTGTGCACGTGGACGCAGCCACACCCGAGTTACCAAAGGATTTCCATTCTTTATCAACTCTGGTAAGAGGAGGGGGAGAGGAGCGATTTGTGCAATGGCTGGAGTACCTTCAGTAAACATGCTGAAGAGCTCCTGGGGAGATTCACCCGATGCCGGCAAGCAAGTTCATACCCTCCCCTGTATGGGTCCTAAGGGTGAAAACTTCTTTTATCTCTTGAAAATATGCTTTCCATTGATTGATCATAGCTTGCAGCCACGGGGTGAAAACGTCCATAGGCTGAAACGTACAGATTAATGGGAGAAAGCAAAAGGTACTCATTTCCCTGGGGAACTGAGGGTGGAGGCTTAGGTTCCCCAGATACCCCAGGCCAGGGTCAGGATCCGCTGCCACAGCTGGGGAAAGCCTGTGCTTTGGCACCGGACAGCCTTTGTTAGCTGGGTTGAGACCCTGGCCTCTGCCACCCTGTGGCAGCCAGCTTCTTTCTTGGGTGAGTTGGGTGTAGTCAAGCACTGGTTTTGGTTTTCTTAACTTGCTACAGCTCTGAAGTTACTGGGGAAAACTGCTTTGCAACTTGGAGAAGTCAAGAGCTGTCAGTTGCTAACAAAACTGAAAATTATAATCTAATTGTCCTGGGCTGGAAGCCTGCCCTGGAAGAAGAGTGTGGAAAACCGACTTGGAGAGAGAGGGATGAGAAGGGACTTGGGGGTAGTGGAGGGGATTGTACAGGTAGTGGGCCTGGCTGCCCAGAGCATGTCACAGCGTTGGGATCGTCCACTGAGAGGCTGAAGATAAGTGGGAGTGGTGGGGGAGGTGTTACAGAGGGTCACTGTAGGCAGAACCCCTGGTTAGAGCAGGGCCTTTTATGGATCATTCTGACAGGTTTTACCTCTCATCCAGTAGGCACAGGATACGTGTGTGATTGATTGGATATGTGTGTGTTAAATGATTACCACCGAGATTTTAAAAAAATTTTGAGAATCTAAAATTATTGTGTAAAGCTTTCATCTTGAATATAAGTTTGATTTCTCATTTGCAGCCCTAATATGCAAATTGTTCATTTCAGTAGCTGTGCGAGGCCAGGAATGGCACTGGCGTCCTTATAACCGAGCAGATGGATGGGTTTGAGAGAGGTGGGGAAAGGGGGAGAAAGCTAGAAAGTAAAGTGTCTCGTGCAGCTTTTATATCCACTGGGTGTGATTGTGAGCAGACTTTGACCAGTCTTTTCTAGATACTTCTTTGTAAAGACCTTGGGGACAACATGATCAAAGTAAGTTCCTTAAAATTTAACCAAAACAACCTTTTCACACAGTACTTTTTTCTTTTTTTTTTTTAAAGTGCATGACTCCTCCTCAGAGCCCTGACCTCCTGGAGCCGTCAACAGGGACAGTTGTTCCTTCCCAAGTAACTGATTCCAAAGCACCCGTGGTTGTGGCTTTCCCCCCAGCCTCTACTGGGGCAGCCGGAGTGCTGAGCAGGAGGGCAGAGAGCGCCCTGCCTGGTTTGAAGGCAGAGCTGCTGGAGCCAGCTGTCAGCCCTCACTGCAGGGCCACGGTGACAAGTGTCATTTGCTACACTGGGGGGAGTCCTGCTTCTGCCCACGTTCCTACCACCCAGACTCAAGCACACCAACTTTCGGCCAACGCGGAAGGAGAAGCGCAGTTTTTGGGGCGTGTTGAAGCTGTGCAGGACACACACCTCACAGACAGTGTGCTCAGCGTTAACTCAGCGTCCTGTCAGCCTTGTTTGCACAAGTCCAGTGGCCTGAGCCCCACCAAAGACCAGCAGGCAGGGTGGCCCGTTGCAATTCAGACCTGCTCACCAAAGAATTATGAAAATGACTTGCCAAGGAAAGCCACCCCTCTGATTTCTGTCCCCATTCCTAGTCCCCCTGTCCTTTGCCAAATGATCCCTGTGACTGGACAAAGTGGCATGTTATCAGCTTTTTTGAAGCCACCTCCCCAAGTGTCTGCAGGGACTGTCAAACCCATCTTACCCCATGCTGCTCCAGTGCCCCAGCCTGTGTTCGTGGGACCTTCTGTGCCTCAGGGAACTGTGATGTTGGTTCTGCCCCAGGGGGCCCTCCCGCAGCCTGCCACGTGTTCGTCGAGTGGAATGGCTGTTGGGAATACCAAGTTACTGCCCCTTGCCCCTGCTCCAGTGTTCATTGCATCCAGTCAGAACTGCGCCCCTCAGGTAGACTTTTCCCGAAGGAGGAACTATGTTTGCAACTTCCCAGGCTGCCAGAAAACCTACTTCAAAAGTTCCCACCTCAAGGCTCATCTTCGCACTCACACAGGTGAGAACTGAAGCAGGTAGGGCATAGGGAACGTCGGATCCCGTGATCGGGAAACACACGTCCAGCCGCCTTTGAGTGGGAGCGAAGCTGAGAACCGCTGGAGAAGGTGGCCATCTTTCTTTGGTTCTGAAAAGCCTTCATAGTCTTGGGGTGAACGTTAGTACAGCTGTCAGTGGTTTTCCTGGAACATGGTATCTGGTCACCCCAGTAGCTAAAATGTAATATAGTTCTGTGATTGTGAACCTGTGATTGAGAGAGGCTTTTAGGGTGAGGCTCACATTCCCCCTTTCTCTTCACATTGCAGTAGACGTTCCTTCTTTGCATTTTAGAAAGTGTCCATTCACGTTCAATAAACATCAGTGTGACTTACTTAGGCTTACTATGGGGAAAGAGTTCTCCAAAGTATGGAAAAGTTTGAATTCTAGAATATTTGAACTTTAAAGGAATATTGTTTTTTTATTTTTGGAAATATGTGGTTTTAATTCAGAAGGACTCACAAAAGAAACTAACTAAAATGACTTAATGATTTCTCCATTGTCCCGTCAGATCCAGTAGAGTTTTCGGCAGTGATGGAAATGTTCTCTGTCCATTAGGAGGGTAGCCACTAGCCACACACACTTGAAATGTGAACAGTGTGTCTGAGGAACCGAAGTTTACGTTTTCATTAAGATTGCACTTATATAGCTACATGGGGCTGGTGGCTACCATGTTTAGCGGAGGTGTGAGGTTGCCTGGTAGGTAGAACTTCTGCTGTAGTTGATCAGGGCAGAACGTCTCAGGTGTCCTGTGACACTCTTGTTCTTTGAGTTAGTGTCACTTGTTTTGTTTTCAAGGGTCCTGTGGTTAAATAGTCTGCTTGTTAAACTCACCTTTCAAAGGTTCACGCACATATGTACATATAATAAGCCCAGTTAACAGGTCGCAGGTTCTGCAGTAAAGATGTGCTTCGTAAGCTGTCTTGATCGTGGAACCCCAGATGTCGGCTAGTGGCCTGGGGGACAGCAGTGAATTGTGAAATACAGTTTAGGAAAGGCTGAATTGGAGGGAGTTGTCATAGTACTTTACTTTGAAATGCTTTCCTGGTAGAGTCGTTTCTAATTAACACATTAGAACTCCAATCGTGGCAGCTCCCGCTTGCAGAATGAAGCCGCATCTGGAAGGCGGGCCTTACGGAAGGAGCCCTGCTGTCCTCCACACTGCGGAAGGGGCTGTGTGCTTCCGGGCTAAGGCCCCAAACCTGGCCTGTGAAGAACTTGCCTCTCTGCCTTTACCATCTCTCTCCAGTTCCACATTTCTGCCCTTCACCCTCTGCCCTCTGCCTGTCTTTACTTACTGAAAACCCTTTAAGGGCTGTCCCAAAGTTAGTTCTTAGAACTCTCCTGATCTCTCCTTCTTTATTTGACCCTGGTGGTTTGTTGTGTATTTCACCTTTTTCTCCCTTTGTATTTTTAGTTACTTACATAGGTGTCTGATCTCACTGGATATAGACTCTTGGTGTCTGTCCCAAGAGCCTGACGCTAGTCATTGGTGATGCAGGGTCGCTGTCATGGCTGTATCGGTGTGAACGGGCACCCCTAAGGGGCTCATTGACTTGGCAAGCCCTGCTTTTCACTGAGACTGCTGAGGTGAACTTCAGATCACATCCAAACACAGATTCCACATGTGGGGAAGCGCAGTGGAATGAGGTTTTACTGTTTATTCAGTCAGCTTCCCTTGGTAGGAAGATAAGGTGATCATACAAGCTCTTTTCAGGTTTCCCAAAGTACTTACATTTAAGTAACCATAAAGGTTCTGAAGAATCAAATTCTTATGTTATTTCACAAACACTAAATTGGAGTTTTTATAAGAAATAGAAATCTTGCATAAGTTTACCTTAGATAAGATAGTTTTTCACTGTACCAACATGAAAATTTGTTTAATTAGGATACGGTCGAGTGAGCAAAGGCTACATTTTTGACATGCTGAAAACATAGGGCACTTTGTAAATCCCATGCCAAAGGGTGGTGGTTCTCTGTCCAACATCTGGCCATCTGGTATGCTGCCAGCACTGGTGGTAGTTTCCTGGGAACAGGTAACCTTATGCTTTCAACATGGGGTCTTTGAAATCCATCACAGCATCACTGTGATAATGAATTTTCCTTTTAAATCAGCTTTGAAAAACATCAGATATTTAGTTGATCTCTCTCCAACACTCATTCATTCAAAACCATTTATTCACCACCTGTCATACAAAGTGCTGTGCTGGGGGTTAAACTGTACATAGATGGATGAACTAGACAAGTCGTAAACCTTCGGGAAGGTAGGTCACATGACAGCACGCAACAGCATTTATCAAATCCCTTCACAAGGTTGCACAAGCGGTCTGTGGTGGTCACAACCTGGTCAAGATCAGGGCTTCAGGATGCAGGAGACAGAGCATTCCTGCTGGCTGGAAAGGCCCAGGATTCTGCGGACAAGGGCTTCCCACTCACCCCTGTACCTCCAGGAAGACACAGTACGGGCAGGACACCTGCCGGGTGCTCTGAAACTTTGAGTGAATGACAGATGCTTGAAGCTTGTAACAACAAGAAGGTAGCTGTTAGAATTCTAACCTGTTTTGCAATTAACCTCTTTGTCAGTGTAATAACAGATATGAAGATGGAATTAATGATTCTGAGAAGTCTTGCAGGTGCTAGGAGGGATTTTTTTTATATGTGCAGCTTCCAGAGAGGGAAGGAGTCATTCCTTTCAAGAATTTACCTCCTACCCCAAGTTCACAGTCAAAGATTTATTTAAAAATATCTTTAGAAGGATTAGATTAGTTTGATGTCTTTGGGCCCTGACATATTACATCTTAGGTGTGGCAGGAAGAAATGCATCTTGGACGATTTCTTGACTTCCAAACAACCTGATACCAGAATAATAGGATATTACTTGCTGCTTAGGTTTTGATGAATACAGTTTTAAAACGACATGAATTAACCTGTCCAATAAGGTGCTGAGCATTTATGTTTTCTTTACTTTGTGTTTTCTTATCTCTCAGGAGAGAAACCTTTCACCTGTAGCTGGGATGGCTGTGATAAAAAATTTGCTCGTTCAGATGAACTCTCACGCCACCGCAGAACTCACACTGGGGAGAAGAAGTTTGTATGCCCAGTGTGTGATCGGCGTTTCATGCGCAGCGACCACTTGACAAAGCATGCCCGGCGCCATATGACCACCAAGAAGATCCCTGGCTGGCAGGCGGAGGTTGGCAAACTGAACAGAATTGCCTCAGCAGAGAATCCTGGGAGCCCGCTGGTGCACCTGCCGGCCTCTGCATGAAAGGTCCTCCAGGGAGTTGTGGATGGGAATTTTTCAAAGCCTTTTTTCAGGAATGGAAGTGATGGTTTTCTCTCCAAAAGAAATTGTCTTGAGGGCTAGGGGAGCTGGTTCTGATGAAAGTATGTTAACTTGTCTTTTTTGGTGGGGAACCCTGTTCAATATCTTTTGTAGTTTCAGAAGTTGTTTTAAGGAAAATGGAAGAAAATTTGATAATCTAAATCACCAGCATTCAAACAAACGTTTTGGCAATAAATTTTACAAAATCTGGATTTTTTTACAACCTTCCTACTCCTGTTTTGTAGAAATGAGACACGTTACTAATTTTTATACTGTTTTTTATTAAAAAAAATTTATATTGTTGGTTCTCAAATTACCAATTTCTATATAGATGATTTTACAATCTTCTTTTCAATGTTTAACAATGTTTTTATAATAACCCTACTTTTAGTAAAGTTGGCACATTATTCAGACAAAAAAACTTTACAACTTTGTAATCAGGCCTTTTAGATCTAAGAATTTTTTAGAATCAGAACTGGTTGAATAGGGGCCTCTTAAAGAAATGGGGGGAAAAAACTTTGCAGTCAGCTTCTTCATAACATTTTCAAGGGAAATTCCAGACAACTATTTCTTTAAGGCTGTAGCCCAAGGAATTAAAATTTTCATTAAGTAGACCTTAGTCACCTGTGTCCATGGTGTGACTTGTGAAGAATGTACCCCAGAGATTAACTTAAAATACTCGGTAGATACCTGGTGAGCAGAGAGCTGATGTAGGGTCTGAGTGTCTGTACTCTGCTGAGAGCAGACCGTTCAGAGTCTCCTGTTTGTACCTCAAACCCCCAAAAAAGAAAATGTAAGCACTTAAACCCAGCTGCTTTGTCAGTTGTCAGTTTTGACTTCTTTTGCTGTGGCCTTATCCAAGTGTTTTGTGGGTAGAGTAACTTCTTAGAGAAAAAGATGGCCTTAGTAGTTGGAGGAACTTTCCACCAAAGTAAAGCTTATGTAAGGTGAAGCGGACATGCGTATGGTCCAGCTCCAGTGTTCTGATTCCTTTATTTATTAAGTATTAAGAACGACGGGAAATGCAAGTTACACTAAGCGGCAGTAATACTACCAAGCTGTCCTTTCATTCATTTTGTTTGAAGGAAATTGTTTTGATCAAACAGAAAATTACTTGGAATGGGGTATTTTGCAGTCTGGCTAGAGAATAGACCATGGGCATCACTTTGAAGCTGTGAGCACAGGTCCTAGCATTACAGAGACTGCGCCCCAGTGTCCAGGTGTCCAGGAAGTTGCTGAGACTGCTTTGGTTGGGCAGCGTTGGGAATCCAGGCAAGAGAGTGCATGTAAGGAACACGGTGATATTGCTCTGCCCTTCGAGCCTGGGAATGGTTTTTATTGTGCCGTATGTATTTAGATTTTTGTCTTTGCCTCTTATTTATTTGCATTTACCTTTATTAAAATGACGGTAAGGTGAAATATTGAATAAATATCAGGTTTTGTGTTCAGGTCTTTTTAGTCTAATAACCCTTGCCTGGTCATTCATTGTATGTTACTTGATACCCATGAAGTACCAACCGCTAATTGACATACAGGTCTGTAAGCGCCGGCTGTGTGTTTAGTAGGCTTCCGTGTCTTTGGAGACTTCTGTAATTGAGTATTCCTACTGGTCATGAGACATGCTACAGTTGGAAGAGAACCAGAATTAAATGTCTATAGTTCGTGATTCCCCACCACCCAGTTCTTTCTTGCACTTATATCTTAAATCAGCATAAACATTTCTTTGTGTATGCTGTAAGTGGCATTAAATCTGGATGTCTTTAATTATACAAAGTAATGTTAGTCCTGCTAAAGTTCTGGTAGATAATACAACGTCTTTGAGTATTTGGTTGCTTGTCACCTAGAACTTCATTCTCTGAGCAGTGTTGTTGCTAAAGGATAGATGTGTTAAAAAAAAAAAGTTTTGATTTACACTTCCATTTCCTGATTAGACTTTGAAATACCTTCTGTAAACAACATTTTTGGCCCTCTGTTGATTGAAAGATTGTAAATTGGGAAACAGCTTCATCTGAAAAATGCAACGTGAGAACCAGAACCCCACGGTGCGTGTTCAGCGTGGAGTCCCTCCGCTGCGGCCCGGGCATCGGAGGAGGGCGCGGGCGGCACGTCCCCCAGTGCACTTTACTGCCTGAGCAGTTTTGCTTGATCTTTTTTGACTTTGAGCCTTTCAAGTAGTTAATAAAATGTTAAATGTTTCAGAATTATGTTTTATGTAACAGACTTTGACTTATTATTTAAATGAATATGTGTGATGTAACTTTTTTCTTTGCATCATATAAAACTTTTTTGATTTGCAAACTGGACTTGTGTCCTGTGTCATTTAACTGCACTCCGGTGTACCCAGTGCCTGACCCTCCTCTTTGTTTTCTTGGGTTCTGTTCTGCTTTCAGGGCACCCTTTGGCTTCTTTGGAGGGTCCTTTGTGAAAGAAATGTGTGAAGGAGCAGCTTCTGTGTTGGCCAATTTGATGTCAGGACCGGTCTTGGCAGTAGAGGACTGTGGCTGCTGGGTAACCCGTGACCCTCATCCTCATGCCCTCCGTGTGTCAAGAGGGGAGTATGGGAGGCAGCCTCTTCCCTCCCTTCCCCCACCCCCAGCCCAGGCTTTAAAGGTACGTCAGGGAGCCACAGTCTCCGCTCCTGCCCCTGGAGTACGTTCTCTCTTGAGCCCGCTCTGCTGGGGCTGTGCATCCACGTCCCTCGAGGGGAGGCCCCGTGGGTGTGGCCAGGCACTCGCGTGGGCTCAGCTCCTGGTGCCCATCGTGCTTGTCTATGAACGGCACTGGACAGGGTTGGTGGGTTCCCCTGCAGGCCGCACCGTGCTGCTCTCCTCTTACCTCGCTGCTCCTTCGCCAGTCCCCCTCCTCTCCCTGACCCCTCTTCTATTCCCCTCACAACCTTGGTGATCTTTTCCAGCCTTGGGACTTAGATAAAAATAACTTCTCTACCATGAAGAGCCCTGCATGTATGTCTCTCCTTTACACTCCACACCTGGCTTCAAATTCCTGTGTCCAGCTCTCTGCTTGACACCTGTCTAACCAGAATCCCAAACTTGAGACGACTGAACTCCCCTTCTCCTCCACACTTGCTTTTCTCACAGTGACCCCGCTGCCTTTAAAAAGGACAAGGAGTCCATCCTTTTAGCTGTTCAGGTGCAAAACCTTGGAGGCGCCCTGGGCTCCTTTCCCGCTCCACAGCCAGTCTGTCACTACCCTGTTGACTGACTGCCTTCCCAAGCCAACCATTCTGGAATGTGATTCCATAAGCCACGCTAGTCCTGGTTATGCGTGTGTGCGTGTGTGTGTGCAGGTGTGTGGGGAGGCGGTAAAGGATCACAATGCGCTTTGCATTTAGCAATCCACTTAGAAAAGTCTCTCCAACTCCAAGCCCCTTTGTGCCTAGGTGCCGGCCACACACCTGTTAGCCTCAACTTTGTGACTCTGTACCTGCTCTCCTCCCTCTGTGCCACCAAGATTTTACTTTCTGGCTGTAACATCCACTGTTCCTTTGCTTTCAACCTGCCTCTTTGTTTAGGGACTTTTTAAATTAAGGACTTCAGACATGTTGCTAACACCCAGGCCCCATCCTGGGAGGAAGTCCGGGCACCAAGGACACCACACCCCAGGGGGGTGAGACACACTCAGTCCCTGCTAAGTTAGGGAGGCTCGTTCTCAAAAGCCTCTCACCACTCTGTAGGAAGCCTAGCTGTCCCAGAATTGCCCAGAGCTGGCTCTGCAAACAGGTTTCCTCTCCCCAGCGTGTTCTCATCTCAGCAGACAAACTGGTCAACAAGCAAAGATGATAAGGAAGAAACAAGTTATAAAATAAACGTCACAGGGATGTAAGGTACAGCATAAGGAATATAGTCAATAATACCGTAATAACTTTCTATGGTGACAGACGGTAATTAGACTTACTGGGGTCAGCATTACGCAATGTAGAAAAATATCAAATCACTATGTTGTACACCTGAAACTAATATTGTAGACTATAATTTAATTTAAAAAAAGAAGACTGTGTTTTTAAAAAAAAAGAAACAGGTTGCTACAAGTCCAGTGGTGCTGGGGGAGCAGACGCACAGGCAGAGTGAGATGACGACAAGGTGGGGCAGTGGCAGCTAAGCTCTCACCGCCCAGCTCTGGTGGTAGCCTCTGGGAGCCTTCCCAGGGCTCCCCTTCTCTGGACTCCTTCAAGACTAGAGGTTCTAACCACTCGGAAGAACTTGCCAGTTTTATTGAATTTGATTGTAAGTCTTGTGGGTCCCACAAGACTTGTGGATGGGTGGGTAGGGGTATAGATGGATGGATGGATGGATGGATGGATGGATGGATGTGATATGATTTCTATCACGGGGCAGCTTACATTTTAGCAGGTAGATTAGATTTGCAATGTTCAGTAAAATATGGCAAGTTCCTACTGGAGTGGTCAGAACCCCTAGTCTTGAAGGAGTCCAGGGAAGAGGGGCCCTGGGAAGGTCTACCAGACTCCTGGCAGGCTCCTTTGGTAGGTAGTGTTGATTTGGCCTGAGGCAGGCCTGGGTGCAGGTCTGACTCCATCTAGCTATGTGTTGCTGAGAAAGGTACTCTACCTTTAGGCTCCTTATTTATAGTGAAGACTAGGTAGAGACAGCAGGTAGTGTGCCTGTCTCAGGGTCTGGCACTTTTACTTTGTACGTGGAAGAAAACCTTAGTTTTCTATCAAAGGGAGCTAGGGCCCAGAAATAACAGAATGGGCTTAGAGTATTCTTGTATTGCCGGCTGCCATCAAGAGTGTCAGGGACTGTGCTAAACGGCACAGGGGCTCCCACTGGCCAAGTTGTGACAGTTTAAACATTAAAGTGATAGTAATATGAATTCCACTTCTGCCCATGATGGAGTAACAGGAAACAAATATACTCTCACACCCAAAAAGACTAGACAAAAGGTATCAAATGAGAGTTTTCCAGGAGCTGGACCTTAGGTCATGAAAGACAGTGACCCTGAGAGACAGGAAATAAGTGAATCTTGTGACTGCCCAGATTTGCTGCCTTGAGGAGGTTTCCAGATTGTGGTGCAGGGACAGGAACTCAGCAGGGACCCAGAGGAGTCCCTGAGTCGAGGAGATGGAGCTGAGGGTCCAGGGATGCCAAGGCATTGGGGGTGAGGGGCAGACTGCCAAGAAAGAGAGGACGGCCCAGAAAACCCTGGAGATCTCCAGACGGGGCGCCTGGGGGGAGGGGAACAGCATGAAACCGAGGCGAGTCCTGTGCGCGGGGGCGTGTGTCCATCTCTGGGCTGAGGAGCCCTCTCTTGTATCACTTCTCAGAGGGCCACCCGACGTGGTTAGAGGGCCGCCCTAGCGGATAAGGCGCTCGGAGAGAGCATAGAAGGCGCACGCGGTGGGTCAGGACGTTGGCGGGGCCTCGGGCTCAGTGTGCGCGCTCCCCGACCCCATGCCCACCTGGCTGGATGTTGGAACCCAGGGAGATGACTCTGTGTGTGGGAATTACGCGACCTGTGACAGGTGGTGCCCAGGCGGTTCTTCTGAGAGACACCCCTACCAAAAGGCCACAGCGGGGCAGCAAGTCCGCACACGCACCTCTGAGCCCCCGAAGAACCCGGGACCCCGGCTTCAGCAGCCGCGCGGCCCGCCCGCCGGGCCTGGGGTCCTGCGGGCCTGCAGTCGGCCTCGAGGGGGGCGCACCCGAGCTCAGCTCCCCGCGCGGGGGACCCAATCCGCAGAAACCGCTCCGGGGACCCTCAGAAGCGCTTCTGCCGGGGCTGCCGGGAAAATTCCTGCCGGCATGGGGCCGGGCTCGAAGCCAGGGTCCCCTTGAGTGTCTGCAGACCCGGGTGGGAGCCCCCCCGCCCCCAGCTCCCTCCGCGCGACGCCCGCGGGCTCCGCACCCCCGCGACCCGCCCACCTCTCATCCGCGTGGCTCCGCGGGGGCACAGCGCACGGCCGTTTGTCCCTCAGGCTTCCCAGCGATCGGGGCGGAGGAAGAGGCGCCGTTGGGCAGGGAGAAGCTGCAGGGCCTCCCCGGGGAGCCCAGTCCCCGTCATCCAAGCTGCCCAAGGACGGGGAGCAGCGAGGATGCTGGAGCAGCGAGGATGCTGGAACCCCGACGGCAACGGCTCTTCCCACCTCACTCTGCTCGCTCGCATCACATCTTTATTTTATCCCCCAGGGCCCACCTGGCACAGGGCCTGGCCTGGAGCCCGCCCTCTTCAAGTAGATGTTGGATAAATTAAAAAAAAAAAAAAAAAAGTAACGTGTCTGTAACCTGCGCTACTAAGGTCATGTTATTTTTATTTTTCACTCAAATCCTCTCCTCACTAGATTAGTAGAAAAGTCAGCCCCTCCCTCTACAGTTTCTCCCCTTCCCTGCAAATAGTCCTAAACCTCTCGGGCTTAGTTATCCCAGGCTGGGGTCTTTGTAGCCGCCACTTTCCAGGGACAGAGACACCCAGTCCAAGCGGACACCCTGCTGTGTGGACGCCTTGCTGCCACGTGGTGCCACTCTTGACAGCCGACCACAGGCCCCTGATTTTGGCGGAGGTTTGGACCTTGAAAGCGCAGCCGGGTGCCCTCAGTGCCACACGAAACCACATGCTTTTTCCGTCTCATGTGCACACCCCGGGGCACCAGCTCCACAGGGTGTCCATCGGATGTCATCCACCTCTTGAGGACTTAAAATGTGTCACCGCTCCTTCCCAGGGTCCACACGTCACAGAAAAGGCAGCTTTTGTTTCCAGAGGGGTTTCATCACACCAGAAAATTGAGCCCTGCCCACCTGTTAAGGTCTGATTTGGTGCCAGGGGTCCAGATGTCACCACCCCAAAGGTCTGGTTTTACATCGTCTCCTTCCTGGGAGAGCGCAGGACTTCCGAGCCTCAAACGTTACTTGTTCTCTCAAAGGCAACCAAGAAGGCTTTTCTCCTGCCTATCGCCAGCCCAGAAAAAGAACCACATCCCCAATCCACAGAGGCTAGATCTTCAGAGGGCTTTTGGCTACAGTTCTTTGACAGCCGCGAGTCCATGTTTACAGGTGCGCCTCTAGAAACAGCATGTCCTTACTAGTGGAGACCAGATCTTGCTACACGAACCCTGGCATCCAGCAGAGGGCCGGGCTCACAGCAGCAGGGGCTCAGAAGGTGAGAACGAGTGGGGGGGGGGGGGAGGTTGAACAGAAATTCCCCAGGGGCGTCCACCCAGTGGTGCTATCTCACTGGATGGCAGCCCAGTGAGAAATGGCTCTGAGACTTCGGAACATCAAAGGGGAGTGTCTTGGAAAAGCTCACCTTAGGTGAGGAGAGGGAACCTGAGCCAGGCGGGGCCCCTTTGAGAAGTCGTGCGAGGGGCAGAAGGAGGGCCGTGGCCTGGCTTCTTCCCCAGGAGGACGGACACAACATTTCTCAGAGGTGGGAACGGAGCGTGTTTTCTAAATTCCTGGGCTTTGTAGCATCTCAGAGGAACTCGCCACCACAGAAGCCAGGAGACACGTGTGTGGCACAGACTTTTCCAGACATCGATGTGTCATTGTCACCTTCGACATGGAGATGTTTTTCTTCCTGCCTCTATTTCAGCCACATTCCCCTGCCTCCCCTTCATGAGCATGTTCCACACTCAGCTCCAGAGCAGAAGGCTGGGGCTCAGAAGCAACACCCAGCAACCAAGAGAAGGCCTGGGGCCGTGCTCGGCACCCAGCAGGCCCTCTGTGCAAGTCTAGTGCAAGAAGCACTCGCCTCCAGGCCCTGCCTGATTCACAGGGTGTCAGCTTTCTCATCAGTCTGCTGGGAATGTTCTAAGGCTCTCCTGGCCTCACTGCTGTGATTTTCTACCTTCTTCCAGGTGGGAAGAGCCGGCAGCCCTAAAGACCCTTTCCAGGTGTGGCCAGTGGTCACCCTCAGCAGGGAAGGCAGTCCCGTGCCCCCAGGAGACGGGGACGAGAGACCGAGGAAACCTGGGATTGTGTGATCCCTGATGGTCAGAGCTGGGGGACGGGGCGTGCCTCCAGGACTCACTGAGGACCAGAGGGGGGAAGTGACCGCAAGTTAGTGCAAGAGTGAGGATCAGAACCGGGGTCTCTGGCTCCTGTCCCACCGTACCCACTGCAGGGGGCACAGGCCTCTCTTTGAGGAGATGGGTGGGTCATGGCTCTGGGCAGCCTCCAGCACCAGGGAAGGAAGAGTCAGCCAGGCCTAAAGCTCAGACAAGGTCCCTGCTACTCCAGGCATGGCTGGGATCCAGCAGCCTGGGTATCGCCTGGGAACTGGTTAGAAACAATGCAGACTCTCAGGCCCTGCTGGAGACCCACAGAATCAGAATCTGCATTTCAATAACATCTCCAGGCGACTCATTTGCAAAACAGAGGGTGACTCCCTCCAGCTCGCTAAGGCATACCTCCTGGGTGTGCCCTCCAGAGCGGAACCTCCTTGGGGCCCTCTGGGACGTGTGTTAGAGTTCGCAAAGTGTCCAGTCTGAGCCACGCTCAGTAAAGAGGCTTCTTCGGAGCAGGTGGCAAGTGGGCCTTCAGAAAGGGGAAGCATTTCAAGACCCAGGAGAACCTTGTAGACGGATCTCCCCAGAGACTGAGAGGAGGGGCAGGTATCTGGCAGGTCACCTGCCCACGCACCTGTGGGGCAGCACCTGTGCCTTCCTTGTGGCCTGGATCTGCACAGCCGATCACCTCTTGCCAGCAAGCATGATGGCCAGCTGCCGGCCACGTTCAGGACTGTCTGAATATAGATTTGAAGAGGGCAGTTGTGAAAGGTCTGGGAGTAACTGCATGTTGGAGGTGGCTAAGCTCCAGCTAGAGCCCTGGGCAGGGCAGGGGGATGTGTGCGCCCAGCCTTAGGTTCCTAAGAGACCCAGTCGGCTGGGGCTGGGGCTGGGAGGAACGACGCGCTGGCCGCTGGATGACCACGGGGCTGCTGTAGCACCAGCCTTAGCAGCAGTACTCCTGCTCGATGCTGGCCATCAGCTCCTCCTCAGAGTAGTCGTATGTGATGGCTGACTGCCTCTCAGGCCTCCTGTGGCAGCTGCCTGGGGCTCTGCGGGTGAGAAACATGGACATGGGAAACAAGATGTTACCTTCAAACTCCACATCTCTACTGGACAACCACGGTGGGCCCTGTATGGAATTCTGATCCATCCTAAAACTAAAACTGAAAACCTCTGCCCCGGGAACACCTCCTCAACCTCTTCCATCAGCAGGCCCCTGCCTGACTCTCTGGTTTCATCTCCCCGATGTTACCCAAGACCTTACGCTGTGAGGAAGCCAGTGCCTGTGATGCTTAAGGGTGAGGGCCCGGGGGTGGGAAGACCCAGCTTGAATCCCAGCTCTGCCAATTACTAGCTCAGTGATAATTTTCTCTAAAATGGAGCTGTATTCCTAAATTCATTCTGAGGCATAAATGAGATAATGCATGGACAGCTTGTGACACTGAATTTTGCACCCTGCCCAGCCCTCAGCAAAGGTGAGCTGTGTCTTGACTATCCATCGGCCTGACTCACTCCCTGTGCCTGCCCCTTGGGTGGATGGGGGTGTCTCACAGGAGCTGCCACGCTGGGACAGGATTGGGCGTCAGGATCCTGGCCACTCCCCCAACCTGCTGGGCAGTGTATTAAGTGACCAAATCCCGGATCCTCATCCCACCGCCTGGGCCCCTGGAAGTGGTTCCCACCGGCCTGGACCCGGCTGCCCACCCCCTCTCCGGCTTTCTGGACTCTGTTGTGCCCCCGACTTCCCTGTCCTGCAGGCTGTCCCACGGCGGTGTCCACCTGTGCCTGGCCATGGCCTTGCCCCCTTCAGCACCTTTGACAGGTGGGAGGGTGTGAAACCTGGGCCGAACTGAGTGCTGCCAGCCTGAGGGGCTACCTCTGAAGGAGGAGTTAGGCCAGAGCTGCCCACTGCCAGGTATTGGACCTCGAGCTCCCACCTGCCAGCCAGAGACGTGCTGCCATGTGAGCTGGGGGCTGGGCTGGATGATCTCTAAGGCCCACCTGATCACTGCCGTCGCGCTCCTGACATGTTCAGAGCAGCCTCCAGGGCCCTGTCTGCTGTCCCGGAGTGCAGGGCAGGAGCTGGGCTCTGGGCTACTTGACTGTCACCTCAGGGTGTGTGCCGCCTAACAGGCCCCCCAGCGCTGAACAGCAAGGATGAGGGTCTAACGGCAGGACTCCACTTCCCCAAGCCCAGAGATGACACGTGCCTCCCGCACAGCCCTCTGGGGTCACCCAGGCCAGCCCCCTCTCTGTGGATGGGGGAGAAATGCCTTGCCCACGGTCCCATGGTGACCTGGCTACAGACCGTCCTCACCCGGTCCCACAGCTCAGCAAGGCCTTTCTCTCTAGGCACCCGACGCTCCCTGCAGTTGGGACATGGGGGAGAAACGGGGCGAGGAGGCAGGGCCGGCAGGGGAGGCTGACGGGGGAGGCCGGCAGGGGAGGCTGACGGGGAGGCTGGCAGGGGAGGCTGATAGGGAGGCCGACAGGAGGTGTTGCAGCCCCAGCAGCCAGGGCTCCACTCGGCCTCACGCCATCCTAGCTTGTCTGGCGGGCAACACTGTCCACCAGCGGCCGTGGGGCTGCCAGCCCGGGGGCCTGAAGACCGAGGTGGGGTCTCCCCCTACTTGGGGGAGGGGAGCACAACATTAAAAGGGAGAGATGGTTCCTAGAGGGACTGAGGAGTCAAGAATTGAATCTTTGTTTAAATTATAATTCACTATGTCAGAGATTCCTAAAGTCATGCAAAACAAAAACCCATTACTCTTCCCCAGAGAGAGCAAATCAATTATAATTGGGCTACAGAGCCACATGCAAAATGAGGCGAGTCATTTGTACTGT